AGAGAAATGAAAACAAACAGATGCCTTCTGTTCCAGAAAAGATTAATTTTCTTTTTCAAAATAAGTAACTGTTTATTTTGGTTTACTTTGTATTTTAAAATGGTAGAATGAATGAAATGCTTTACATGCATACAACAAAGTTCAGTCAGGTCATCTGGATGGTTTCTTTTTTTTTTTTTTTTTTTTTTTGCTGAGACGTTTCGTCCTTCATCCAAAGGACTTCTTCAATCTGAGGAGCCACCAACAAACTGGGTCCCACAAGCAACACACTCCCAAATTGGAATAAACCAGTTTGCTGGTGATTAGATGGCCTTCAGGGCCTGCCCTCTCCTCCATCAACTTCTCTGAGATAGCCATGCCAAAGTGGTTCAAAACACCAAAGTCCATGTTCAATAATCCAGGTAAAAAAAACAATGTTCAGTCAGGTCATCTGGATGTTTTTTTTTGTTTGTTTGTTTGTTTTTTTGTTTGTTTTGCTGAGACGTTTCGTCCTTCATCTAAAGGTCTTCTTCAATCTGAGGAGTTTGTTGGTGTTTGTTAGTGGCTCTTCAGATTGAAGAAGTCCTTTGGATGAAGGATGAAACGTCTCCAAAAAAAATAATAAAAGAAACTGTCCAGATGACCTGACTGAATGTTGGATATTTACCTGGACTACTGAGCATGAACTTTGGTGTTTACATGAATACATATTTTTTAAGTTTTAAATTTAGGGGGTAAAAAAAAAGGATATTTGAAAGTTTTAAGATTTTTTTTCCCCAATTAAAAAGTTTGAAGTTGAGCGAAATAGGAGATTTGCAAAACAGAGGCAGATGGACAAACTGATCTGTTTGTTACTGTGTTTCACTGTGAGGCAGCCATGTTTTTTTTTCTGCTAGTGATAGTCTTACCTCCAAAGAATAATCTCAACTGCTAACCTCATACGTTTTCATTTGTGCTGCTCAGCTAAACACTGGAACAGTCTGGACGCCATCCAACATCCTGCCTGGGTTTTGTAAACAACCTCTAAAATGGCTGAGAGGAGGAGAGAGGAGGAAAATTTGGCATTCAGAGGGCAGAGACAGAGTGATGACAAAAAGGCTTGAAGACAGGATGAAATGAATGGTTATAAAGTGAAGAACAAGGCAGAGAGCCCAGATTCAGTCGTAATGCGTGGACCAAGAGTACTGCTTTGATCTGACTCTGAAATTTCTGATTTTTTAATTAAATTGATTTTCACACCATTATCAACAGGAAGTTGAAAAGGTTGCGTTTTAGCCATCTGTTCTACCTTCATTTTTCTATTTTAATGATTTGTTTCGTCTTCCTGCCCTAAAGGCTCAGACTAGAAATGGCTAAAGTTTATTAAAACATATCTCAGAACATCACCTCATATTTTCAAAGAGTTCCACCCACAATTTTCTCTTCACACATCTGCCCTTCGTTTGACTTTCAAGCTAATTTGAAGCACAAGCATTGAGTCAGAAGAATCCTAGCCAGCAGGAAAAGGGAAGGGGAAACTGACTGAGGAGTCGCACAACAATAATGCTGCTGTGCTTAGAGACAAAATATGCATATATATATTAAAGTTAATGAAGAGTGACAAATCCCATCGTTTCTCTTGAAGAACACGGTTGTATGTTCTAGAAAAGGTGATACAACTAAAGTTAAATCAAATAAACAGTAGCATTTTTTTATCCATTTTTCTTCAATACATATTTGGGCGCAATTCTCGTCCCGCAGTTTTCAAGCTATTTCATCAAATCATATATAAAAACTTTTAGCTCTTTCAGGACAGTCCTTATATGGCTTTTGGCATTGGTGCAACTTTAGCTTTTTGAAATATTTAGCCTTTTCAGCCATTTTTTTTTCTTTTAGAAAATGAATTGAGCTCATTTTATATCCTTCAAATCTTTAGATCTGTTTCCAACCTTTTACTGCTCCTTTCACATTTTGTTCCGGTTCAGCTTCTTTCAGTTTCCTTCTGCAAATTTAAACTTTTTTTCAGCTAATTTCAGCTTTTTCAGCTGTTTTGTGCTCCTTTCAGCTTCTTTCCACTAACTACAACATTTTTGTGCATCTTCTAAATATTTTTGCTAATTTCAACTTATGTTCCTTTCAGCATTTTTTTGTATTTCAGCTTTAATGCTATTTTAGCTACTATTTAGCAGTTTTTATGATAATTTTAGCTTTTTCAGTTATTCCACATTTTTTCCACTCATGTCAACTTTTTTCAGCCTAATTCATTTAAAATATATACTCTCTCCACTTCCTTCTTTTAATTTCAGCTTCTTTCATCCTTTTTAGCTACTTTTCAGCTGTTTTTTTTGTTGCTAATTTCAGCTTTTTTCAGATAATTTCCATTTTTTGTGCTCATTTCTGCTTTTTTCAGACTAACTGGGCAAACGTGTTCTCTCTGCTTCTTTCTGCTGATTTAAGCTTGTTCTACCTTTTCAGCTACATTTGTACCATTTTTAGCTAAATTCAACTGTTTTCAGATAAATTCAATTTTTTGTGGTAATATCTGCTACTTTAAGCCTAATTAACTTATTTATGCTAATTTCAGCTTGTTACGCTCAATTCAGTTTTGTTTTTGCTAGTTTCTGAAATTTCAGCTACTATCCAGCTGTTTTTATGCTAATTTGAGCTTTTTCACCCAATTCCACTAATTTCAGCTCTTTATGCTTCATTCTGGTAGTTTAAGCTTCTTTCTGCTTATTCAGTTACTTTTCAGCTATTTTTGCTAATGTCCGCTCTTTTGGCTTATTTCCAAATTTTTGTGCTCATTTCTGCTTATTTAAATCTAATTTAGCAAATATGTGTTCTTTCTGCTTTCTTCTGATAATTTACACTTGTTCTTCATTTCAGCTACATTTCAGCATATAGTTAGATAATTTTAGCTGTTTTTCAGCAAACTCTTCTGCAAGCATTCACACTGCATTTTCACAGTAAATGCAATTTCTCGTTTAATTTTTTAAAATATATTTTGTTTTCTGTTCCACTACAAAATATAAGCCATGTCTGTTTTTATTTTCCCCCTGGGCTCAATGGACGTAATAAACCATGAAAAATGTGATTTGGGTCTCGCCTATCCAGGTGAACAAAGGCTCCCTCGACTATGTGCATAGATTGGGTGCAGTCCCGACTCCCTCCCACAATTAATGGATTATGTTTCATCTTGTAGGTGGGCGCTCCAACCCAGTGTGGTGGTTCTGTCTCACCCTCCTCTCTTGCTACACAAAATCGACATAGCTTGAAAGAGAATCGGTCTGCCGCAGTATGTTGCTGAGGTGGGAAATGTGCGCCCCTGGCATTTAAGATGGCCCCACGCCAACTCATGTGAACGGCAGTTTCCTGTATTGTACTGAGTGCATGAAAAAAAAAATGCATTGAATATTCAATGGTTTGTTTTAAGATTTAAGACGCCCACTCACTTTTTTTTTTTTTTCCTTTTCTGTGTGTTTGGATGTACGGGACGTTTCATTCTGCAAGTTGAATTTTTATCATGCCTTTTTTTAAATCATTTTATGTACAATGCCAGTGTCTTTTCTTGATTTTGTAACTTTTATGACTGTTTCTAGTCTGAGGTGCCTTTTGTCACCTTTTTGCATTAAAAAAAAAAAGTTTATTTTGTCCATATTTTTAAATTGCATAATAAATGCAGATTACAGCTGTTGTCCAGATGGGGTTGGTTTTCATTTTTTCAGTTAAGGACTGTCAACTATTAGATGATATTGGGACAGTTACGTTAAGGTTTTATTATAGGTTCATCTGGGTTGGATTATAGTTGTTCTTTGGTCTTGATCTGTTGTCATTCTTCTCCTACAAATGGTTCAAGCTAATGAATAAAAAAGACTTTCACAACATGCCTGCACTTCCTTACCCTGGTGTCCTGTTAATTACTGGTTCCAGTTTCATCTTCATTGCTCTCTGTGCCGTTGACATAAAGGGCAGCCATGAAGGTCCTGCTGTTCTGGGCCAGCATGGTACCCCAAGTGTATTCTAGCTCTAGTTTATAGTTTTAGTATTTGTTTCTAAAAGTCTTCTTGGTATAACACCACCTTACTTATTCAAACTTTTACCCTCTCGCCTTCCAGACAGAAACACCGAGGCCTAAAAACCAGGTGCTCTTATACAAAGTACGTTCCTTGACCCAGAAACAGAAAACAACAAGGTGACAATCGTTTTGGTGTAATTTAATCTGTGAAACAGATTAATTTTTAACATAGAACTAAGAAGTTTAGAAATTGAGCAGATCACAGTTTTATATAAAGTGCAATGCCTCGAATGCAGTGTATTTTATATGCATTAACTTATTTGCTGCAATTTTTCAATATCAAAGCCCTCAAAGTCAAGTAAGGACCTTCATGTCCTGACGTTGTTGCCTGTGTGGACCTGTTATCTTGTTTTTATTTTTCTGCCAGGGGAGATCAAGTAGAGCTAAAAGCTAGGGGTTAGTGCTGAACTGGCTTCAGCAGACACTGGTGTTCTATAGGCTTGTCACTCAGTCTCAGGCCTGTCCTTAGAGATAAGACCCATGGCCTACTTAGGCTGATCGATGATGAGATCCATACAAACACTCTCCCACTCAGTTTGCTCTCTTTGTCTTTGTCATTAACTTACTTTCTTTTATCGGAACTTTGCTTTCAGGATCCTCGTCATACTTATTAGAAAGTAAAGATAAGCCTTATAGAACGGTATGCGCTGAATAGCAATGTGACTCTGCATTGACGCATCTATTCCAGGGTTTAATACTGAATAACATTAATATAAAACATATTCCCAAACGTATGGTGTAAGTTTTATTTTAACCTTAAAAACCTAAAGAAAAACCCATCGTTGTCATTACTGGTGGGTATCCCTTCCCTTGAGTCTCAGTCAAGGTTAATACTGTCATAAAATATGATGTAAATATAAAAAGAATGATGACAATTTAAAAAGTACTATTCCATCTCCTTATAATTCACAGACTAATCCATTGTTCCTCTTTCTATTCCTTCCCCCTACTCCTTATGTTGTCGTAGCTAAAGTCAAGTCAAAGTGTGCTCCCACATTCTTTGCCTGTGCTAATGGGGTCCACTGCATCATTGGAAGGTTCCGCTGTAACGGCTTTAGTGACTGTCCTGACGGGAGCGACGAGGAGAACTGCAGTGAGTTGCACACGCACACACACACACACACACATTCTCACACAACATGCAGATTCAGTAGCAAAGACTTCAGGCCACTTTCACAATCAGTAGCAGTCTCTTCCAAGATGCACTGTCCTCCAGTCATAACAGTTTATGGATGGAAGACTACCAAAAATTTGTCTCCTGACTTGAAAAGAATTAAAATAATACTATATCAAAGTCTTAAGGGCAGAGTCCAGCATTTTTACACATGATTTATCTCGCTGCATGTGCACAGCTTTGAATAAATAACACTTCTGGTACATAATCACAAATTAAATTGGGAAACTGTTTGAAATATTAAAAACAAAATTCCAAGTTGTTTATTTTGCCAATTGCATTAGAACAAAAATAGCTCATTCAGTGCTGATTTTTTTTTTTTTTCCGTTGTGTTGAAATAGAAAAGCTTTTGTATTCTTGACTGTCAGAATGTGATCAAGTCTGTACTTTAGCTCCTGCAGAGCCGTGCAGATGTAACAGCATGCTGCCTGTGTCCTACACAAATACATCGCCGAACCTTCCCCACGGCTGGTTTCTAAACCAGATGCAGATAATAAAACAGATATATCGTCGCAGAGAGTTCCAGCAAAACAACTTTTTAGTTACATGAAGCGTCTTGTGAGGCTTTTTTTTCTTTAAAAACATAAATTCACTCTGATTAAAACCTTATTCATTTAAGTGAATACCTGCAATATCTGTTTGTTAGTTTGGCTTCGGTTAGGAGATGAGCACATATCAAATGGTAGCACAGCGCTATTAAACTAAACTGCTCAGGGGGGCACAGTTACTGAAAGCAGCCGTTCAGGGGCTGGACATCTAGCAGTTTTTGTCATTAAGTAAGTTTGTTTTATGGTTTAAAATATAGTTTTATTTAAAAATGAACCCATTGGTGGCTGAACTGAGTTCATTCGTGGGCCTGATTTGGCCCCCGGGCCACCAGTTGAATAGCCCTGCTGTAGCATCTTCTTTCAGGAAAGCCAAATGTTAGCAAATAAAGTTTACTGAATATGGTAGACCTCGTCTTGTTTCCTTCTCAGCGCCATTTGCTTTTTCTTCCTACTTTTTTTGTTTTACTCGCTGTTGATTGAATTTCCTTATGAGCAAACAAACTGAAAGATTCTCTTAGGGAGCTGCCAGCTGACGTCCACCTTTGGCTATTTAATAATAATTTCAGAGAATATGTGTATTTGTATGCATCGCCATCTGTTGCTCTGTCACGGGTTTCATCTGTGGAAGTATTTTTTTTTTTCTCCAATAACTTTTTTTTTTTTTCTGTTTGTATTTTCCATATTCGTTTAAATCCTTTTTTTTTTTTTTTCAGAGAGATCCTTGTAAAAAATATATTTTAAAATAACCAAATGTTTTCATTTCTACCAGTATTAAATTCATTAAAAATCAAGAGCAGATAAAATTGGGTGCATGGATATAAAGGATCAATTCTACTGTTTAGTTACTTGTAGATTTGGTTGACAGTAACTTTTTAAAAAACAAAAACCTACAGTTTGCTTCTAGCCTCTTGATATCATCAGAGACATAGTTCTGTGCCTGCGGGGCTCATGCTCACAAATCTAATCTCCATTAAAACAGAGCTTTGCCCTGTGCTCACATCACAAACTGCGTCACGACTGTGTAATTGTCCAGATATTCTCACAAGATAATTACGCTCTATTTTTTCAGGAGCCTAAACCAAGACAAAAGAGGCCAAACATGAGCTGAAAAGGAGCAGAGGTGCTCAGCGGGATTTTGGAGTGTTTCTCTTCTTTTAAGCTTTTGACTTTTATCTTTTATTAACCTTCACGGACCAAATGTTTAACCAGCTCACACAATTTTAATGTTGAAACATGCAAATCTTTGTATTATAAAAAAGAGGAACATGGCGTGAGATCAAGAAATGCACTTTATATATTTAAGCAACTTGCCAAATCAACTGCTCTAAATTAATAAATCATATGTACTTTTAACTGATTTATTATTCGTTGAGGTTTGGTTCTTAGAATATGACTCACAAACACACAGTGTGTCTCCAGCATAATCACCGTGAGCTAACTGTTGCCACTTGACCTCTGCCTTGACTCATCCACAGCGGGCAACCCTCTGGTGTGCTCCGAGGCTCGCTTCAAGTGTCGAAACGGACGATGTGTGGACCGCAGCTTCCTGTGCAACAGCCAGGACAACTGTCGGGACAACAGTGACGAGGAGCTCTGCCTCACCACTGCAGGTACATCTACAAACTGAAAACAAATCTGACTTTTGAAGCGTGCTCATTCTCTATTAAGTACAGTAAAAATGAAGCTAAGTGAGTTGGAATTATCCGTGACGTCTGCATGTCACATGATGGGATAATTCTGGAAAAATCTTCAGGAAAATGTGTCCTGCGATCTGTGATTAATGGAGATCCAGCAAAGCCAGTGACAGATTAAATTTCAACCTAAAGAAGACATGTGCTGCTTTGATTTTACTCTGCCAACCTTGAAGATTATTCATCAGCGTGCCCGTTTAACTCAGAGAGACGCCGTGGTCTGTTCGCTGTGTTGTTTGGTGCCACTGTGCAGGGCCTTGTAACACATACGGCAGCAGCCTGATGATGACTGTGATGCCTTCTGCTGCAGAATATCTTATCCACTGGCAGGAACGTTTATGGCACAGCAAGTGACTTCTCTCAACTTCTCAGCTGTACTCCTGAAGTACTATGCAAAAAAAACTTGAAAATCTTATTCGTTTTGCATTTTGCTTTCTTGCAGTCTTTCAAAATGCTCTTTATTGATAGTTTTCTAGGCTGTCTCAAGATTGTTAATTATTTTTCAAAGATCTTCAGGTGAACCTTGAAATGCATCTAACACAGCACTGTATGAGCCATGATAGTTAAAAGCTGTTGCTGTGTCTGCATATCTGTTACTGTGCTTTTGTCACACTAATTAATGCTTTAGCAAGCTAACAGCAACATAATAAAACAAAATGTCAAAAGCCTGCCAGCAATGAGCCCAGAGCTAGTGGTGTATGACTTCGAAGACTTTGATAAAACACAAAAGGTAAAATATTTCTGTTACACAGGAAGAGCCTCTGGAGCAATCATACACCAAACGTTAGATTATAAAAATAGTTAATGTTAGTAAAAGTTTTTTTATTTAATTTTTAATTAAAATCTTGTTAGCTCAAACTTTTTAATCATTCTCATAGGAGCTAAATATTCTGCCTATTATGGTTCGTTGAGTAATGCCTTACCTCTGGATTCTAAATTTAATATTCTACGACTAGATACAGTTGTTTTTTAACTGTATAATTAGTAAAGTATGAATTAGTAGCCTATAACTAACCTTTTCTGTGTTTGTGAGAGAAAGAAAAGGAGCCAACTTTTAATTACCGTTTCTCTTCAGCTGCTACAACTCAATGCAGAGTCTCAGAATGCTGAGTGGTGCTTTATTGTGATGTAGAATTTCTGATCAATATCTGTGTCCACCGCACTCTGTCTCCTTGTAGACAAGTGAACAATACCAACTCCAGAATGTACTGTAGTTGCAAATCTTTATACTGCAGTATTCAAGGAAGTGGAAACGGAAAGTAATCTTTGCAGCAAATACAAAAGTCCTGTGCTGAAAAACACAAACAGGGATTTCTGACAGAAAAAAAAAAAACCCAACACTGAATGTTTTTAAGTACCGTACTTGCCACTGTACACGTCGCACCACCGTATAAGTCGTATCAGTCCAAATATGTCTAAAAAGTGGAAAAAACATGAAGCACCAACATAACTGGTTCCACTTTGGAGTAAGCTGTTGGGGGAAGAATCAGTTTTGTGTTGTGTGTTTCCTTGACTGATGAAGCCTTCTGGATGGAAGGCGAAACGTTTCAGCACAAACAAAAAAAAAACTGTCCAGATGACCTGACTGAAAAATGTTGGATTGTATACCTGGATTATTGAGCATGGACTTTGATGATGTTTAATATTTTCCATGTCAGAATGAATGAAATCATCAAATCTCAGCCAAAAATTGGGTTAAAAATATGGGGAAAAAATGTATATTAGTCGCTTTGGTGTATAAGTTGCAGGACTTGCAAATTTATGCAAAAAGGTGTGACTTATATGGCCAAAAGTACAGTAACCTTTGTTACTGTAGACGTACACTATTTGCAGTATTCTATTTTTCAGATTAAAAAAAGATTGTTTCCACATCAGACTTTAATAAAATATTTTTTTTAGCATCGGTCCACTTTTCTGCCAAGTTTTGTAAGATTCAGCTGAGCAGGTTTTGCTAAAATTGTCCAAATAAACAGTACTGACAGCAAGCCAATGTTGCTGATAGAGCAGACATTCTCAGTCTTTTTTCAGTTTGATACTTTATCTCCTAAAACGTTCATTCACACTCGTGTAGCTTCACTTCTGACCAGCTGAGTGAGCTTATCATGCATGACGTAGCAAGATATGAGTGCAAATATATTTAACTTCATGTTCTACAAAATAAAGTGCTCTGCCTAGGAGCAATTTATTGAAGGGTTTTATAAAGTTGACAGAGAGGTTTCTCAAAATGCGTCCATCCCTAAAATGTCTTCAGAGTTCTGAGTTTTAGTTGATTCTTATCATAGAAAGGCATAAATGTTTAACCATCGAACAGACTGGCTCACATTTTCACAAAAATGTTTCCGGGCATTGGCTTTTTATTTATTTTTTATTTTTTGGCAGAAGTTTAATCCTAAAGACAGCACAGCCTGTCAGCACAGATTTTATTATAGTGTTTGTATGTATGATGCCCAAACTAAATAAACTACAAGGGCTGAAAGTAGATGAGTTCCATATTGGTGTGGCCTTTAAAACACATCAAAGAAATACTATATTTTTAAATTTCTGCCTATAATTGCTGTGGATAAAGTTAGTGCATTACTACTGTTGGCACTTAAACACACATGCACTTGCCTCACATTCTGCTCTGACTTTGCCTCTTTCTATAATAAGCACAGACCTGCAGGTGACAGATAAGGCGTACAATATCCGCTCTAAGCCACCTGAGCAGAGCATCTCCCTCACTTTTGCCTCTGCTTCTCTTCCTCTGCTCAACCCCTCCATCTTCATATTCATAATTACTTACTTCAGCGTCTCCACATTTGTTTCGGCTGTTTGCAGTGTCTTGTAAGAGTTCAGCTTGCAGCCTGCAGACGGACAAATCATCATGGCTTTTATAAATGATGGGTTATCCATCCTGCTCTGAATGTTTCAAACAAAGAAATCTACAGAAACGGTTTTTCTAAAAGTGAGTTACAAAAGGAGCACCACAATAGACAAATGATGCTTGAAATTTGAGTGATGTAGCAAAATGGTTGACAGATTATTACATAAATGCATTTTTAGCATTATCTCAAAGGAAAATGGATTGATGAATGGGTATCTTGGCTAAAAAGAGGAAAGAACACCACAGAAATATAATGTTGTAAACCTTAAAGAAAGTCAGAGAGCTCAATGAATAGTAATGGGCAGGAAGATGGAAGTAAGCAAATAAAGACAGGTGATTTGGCAGTGAAAGAGGAATTTGAATAGAAGTGAGTGAAAGGTACCGATAAACTGGAAAGGAACAGCTCCACATCCGCCTGGAGCCGAGCCCCAAGGTCAAGTAGTGCAGCTCTAGAAACACACGTCATTCAAGCAAGTTCTGCAAATCCAATCTTCTCTGTGCTCTCCCAATTCTTCCAGTCTGTTTACAGGAGGAGAACAAAGGAGCATGTCTTTGAGAACATCTACTTATACTAACACATCCAGAAAGACCTGAAGAATACTGAATCCTAAAGCCTCCCACATACTCGGGCGTACTGTGTGTACTCCGTGAACCATGCAGACTCCTTGCGTACTGTCAGCAGATGGTTGAGACTTTGTATTCGAGCGTACACCCTGATGGGCTGCAGCCCAGCTCCACAGGCAAGGGACGTTTACCTTTGGGACAAAGTGAGGTTGCCAATTGGTCATTTGCTGACACGCCTACTGGATTGATTGACAGGTCACGTCACGGATCTGACTCATCAAAAAAAAAGAAAAGCTGCCGGCGGCCCTGGTTAGAGGCAGGGCGACTCAGGAGCAGCAGCTGTGTTCTGTGTTTATATGTTGTTAATAAAAAGTTCTAAAAATAATAAATAACAGAGAGCCATGTAACCCACACATCAGACCGGCCCATCGGGAAATTGCCAGACCCTTCTGATTAGCCACTCCGGGCTTGAGCATACAGATTTTAATTCTATTGTGACAAATTTCTTAATTTCTCACAATTTCAGTCATGGTGTCAATGGACGAGGAGGAACAGATCACTTGCCCTTGGAAAGAAAACCAAAAGAAAATGCCATTAAACCAGGCCAGGGATGAAGAAGGGGAATTTAATACACTGGTGAAGGACATGAAGACGATGGGCAGCAAGAAACATTTTGAATATTTTCAAATGGATTCTAGCAAGCTCGATGAGCTAGTTAGGCGCTTAGCCTCGTTTCTTCACCACTAGGGCAGTCATCGCACACCTGTCAGCGCTGCATAGAGAGCGACAGTCGCACTGCGCATCCTTGCGACTGCACAGAGCGGTTGGTGTTGCATACAAAACAGTCCATCGCCAGACAGTTTATTGTGCGACACAGTGTACGCGTACGCGGTCGTAAACTTTGATCTTTGCGCAGATATGGCCAGCGGACATGGCCAGCGGACATGGCCAGCGGACATGGCCAGCGGACATGGCCGACGGACGTCCGCTTCGAGTCCGCCTCGAGTACGTGCGGACCTCCGTGGAGTGAAGTAGGCCTGAGTATGTGGGGGCCTTTACTCATCCATGTCTGAAAATGGGTTTTCCTGCAAACTTATCTGTAAAAGAAATATTGTAATATTCAACGGATCATTGATTTTACAGGCATAAGGAATAAAAGTGGTGATTGCAGCTGACATAAGATTTTCTCCTACAGTTTTTCCAAATCATAACCGATTTAAAATACCTACATCAGTGACTCCCTTTGCACATTAATATGAGGAGACATATTAAGATGTGATGTCTGTTGGAAACTGTGATGGTGATTTATGCCAACACCTTCATCTCAAACAAACCTTACCTTTGCCTTTTTTTCTTGACTGCATCTTTGAAGAGAGAGAAAAGTAACATGGAGGGGAAGTGTAGATGATATGACAGTAAGAACAGAGGACCATGAAAGGTGTGAGGGCTTCAAAATGTATTTAGGGGAGTTGAAAGCTAGGCATGCTTTGTA